TCTTAAAGAGCTATTTACTTTGGTCATCAGATTCCTATAATGGGATGATGAGCAACTTTCCTCTGTATGAAGTTGTAATTAAGGTATTTGTCATTTAGAAGTCAAATGAAATTTTTGCTAAATGAAGGATCAGAATTTGTTCTGTAATATCATTATGAAATCAAGTCAAAAGAATAAAATCACATGCAAGGGTACTAGGATTACTGAAGTTTAAACACTTACAGCTTCTTCGCAACTTGGATGATCAAAGAAGTAAAGAAAGGCGGTAGTGGACCTTTATTGATCTGATCCATTAGCACACGGAATGGCAAAATCTTGAACAGGCTACCAAGATCTTTGATTTGCAACTCTCATATATCCCTTTGCTCCATAGAAATAATTAGGGCAAAATACACTTCACCCCATGTGATTTAATGCTTTTTCACATATCTCCCTATGGTTTCAAAAGCTGTATATAACCCTCTCATGATTTGAATTAAAATATCAAAATGATGGAATTTGCATTTCATAACAGAGTCAATTAAAATGTCAAAAGTACCCCTATATAAAGTTGAAAATTATTTATTAAACACGGGAGTTATGTATATATTTTGAAAACTATAAGCGGGTTATATAGTAAAATATCAAATCATACGAGATTAGATTGTCATGCATATTATATTTATATATTTTGGTCACTTCAGTCATTTTAGTTTTTAAACAAGAATAGTTTCGATATTTTCAAAGGTTCTATTACAAATGATCATTTCTATCATTTTGACATTTTAATCCAAACTATGAGAGGATTATATATAACTTTTGAAATCATAGAGGGGTTAATGTGAAAAATTGCTAGACCACAGGCGGGTAAAGTGTATTTTGCCCAAATAATTATCAATTATGTGTGACAGATTGGGGCCCTCTTAATCACAAGAAAATAAGAAACTTTTTGTTTTTCTGTGGTTGAGAGGGGGGGGGGGTTAAGATTGCTGGATTTTGCTTTAACTTTAGAAAGAAACTAAAAAAGTTCAGGTAGCATTTGATTAGGGTAATTATTATAGCATATCAATCTGGTTTTAACCCATCTAGAATTTTGTTACACCAAAATCGCTAATAAGTATAATCCTAGAAAGTAATTTTTTTTTTTTTTTTTTGGTTGAAGGAATCCTAGAAAGTGTTTAAATCGCTTTCATATTCTTTTCACAGATCAGCATATTGAGGATACAAGAAGGAGGGGAAAAAAACACATATCAAACAGAACAGTGCTCCTATCAATGATCCTAGGAAATTACGTACTAAATGCGTCTTACTCGAATGAAGGAATATTTTGTGAAAGCGTAAAGTACAGGCAGTATCTTATTATCGAGGACAATAAGGTTCTTGGTGATGATTGTCCATATCATCTTGAAGTGTCAGCTCAGAAGTACAACATCTATCTATCTATCTAGGCCATTTTTCAAAAAAGAACAAGAAGGATCTTTTGAATAGTTTGAGGCAGCAGCCGACTGCAAAGCATCAGGCCATCAGCCTGAGCACGTTTTGTCTTCCATTCCCAGTTTCTAGTAAAGTTTTACCAATAACCTTCTTGTGCTCCTTGATGCTTAATGAATAGCGACTAGTATTACTTAATGGTTTTCCTCGATACATGCTCACATGTGGCAAATCCCATGTTCTCTGATAAATCTTGTATTTGGTTTATCAAAATATTCTTAGCTAACTGCAGAATTGAATTGTAGTAAATTGTGGTCTAGCTAGTGGGAACAGCAATATCCCTTTTCTTTTATGTTAATAAATAATTCTCTTGCCATCTCCCCGTTTCTCAAGTTTCACCCCTTTCCTGTTGGAGGGGAAGGAAAAAAAAAACAGTATCAACCATTTTTTTGATATTGGCAATGGCTTCCACGCCTTCAAAATCCTCCAACTTGTTTGAAGCTGGACAAAGGCTTCATCCTCCAAACCACTATTTCACTTCCAAGCCTTCAGCTTCGTAAGAAAACCATGAAGAGTTCTTGTTTTCAAAAGTGCACGCACTGTCGATGTATAAAAGATTAATACTTTTTATTTATTCTTTATTTATTTTATGGCCTTTCAGTACTGATAACCTGAAGGTTGCATTGCACAAGGTTAAGCATAAAAATGAAGGAATAACCAAACTGAAGATAGTTAGTCTACATGTAGTATAGCAAGTGTAGACATTATGAACCTAATAGACGATCAAAAATACAAAAGACGAAAGAAGCAAGCTTTATAATGGGCAAGGACACTCATTCTTGTGACTGTCTTGAGCGGTTCACAACCATGATTGGCTAAATGTCACATTATTGCATGTACAATATTTTTAACGTCATGTGTGAACCTGACAACCGTTTGTGTCCCAAATCTGTAAAATACCCACCGTCAACTGCAGTAATATGTCCTAGACTAGATTTATATTAAAGCATAGAGGCCTAGACTGTGAATTTATAGATTGTGTTTTACGGCTACCAATGCCAGAGTCCGAAGCTAAACTACCTAACAGAATCCTCTCCAGTGGTAAGTACTCAGACTTCCCCTGATGATACGATACCCATGGCAGAGACCCCGGCAATGAAAGTTGTTTCCATTTTCCACCCTTGCACCTGGATGATCATTGAACTTGTCTTTCTCTTTCCCTTCATTCCCTCACCCTTGCTTTACCGCTCCCCCATATAGGAGGAAAAGGGTTCTCATTTTTGTAGTATATAATGAGTTTTACTATGCTACGATAGATATTCAACATTGAAGAATACCATTTTTGCCTTTTTGAGCATTTATTCCTCAACACGAGTTAAAGTTTGCTGAATTTGAACTCTTCGCTACTTAAAGAATTTTTCGTACATGATAAAACTTTGTTTGTAAAAATATGCATTTTATTGCAATTCTTCGTATATTTTATGCTCAATTTTAGCGTTCATGAAAGTTATAAGATACAAGCGCCAAGCTCATGGTTTAGTGTCTCTTATTATATATATATAGGGGAAGTCCCATAAAAAATTTTAATTGGAGCCAATGCGATGCCAATTAAATATTGCCCAACATAGTTCACAATTTGTCTTGATTGGAAAACTTGATTGGTTAAAGTAGGCGTGACACTTTTGGGGAATTCAATTGCAACAACTAACAAGAAAGATTTGGGTCTTTCTGATTTGAAAATTAGTTGAGTGGAAATCTTGAAACTGGGGAATTTATATTCTTATTATAAAAAGAAATTTCTTTTTCTCAAATGGGACTCTTTTTTCACACTTACATTATTGTTAAGTGGTGGTTGAAGAATCTGTACTGTATTATAGAATAAATTAGAATTTCAAACTCGGATTTATGTTTCTCGCCAAAAAGTTAAAAAGAAAAGTATACTTAAGATCTACTTATATTTATATGGCAAATCAACCTTTTCTAACACTTATATTCTTAATTGGTGGTTGAATCTATACTGTATTGTAGAATAAATTAGAATTTCAAACTTGGTTTTATGTTTCTCGCCAGAAAGATAAAAGGAAAAGTAAATTTAAGACCTATTTATATGGCAAATCAACATGTTATAGTTTTGAGAATTGAAAAAAAAAAAAACCTAAATTACTGTCCTCACTTGTTTGGCAAATTAAGGGCCTGTTTGGAACCTGAGTTTTTTGGGAGTTTGTCTAAAACTTTACTGTAGTGCACTGTAGAAGTTTATGAAAAAATTTTGTAGAAGTTTTTGTTAGATGAAAAATTTTGTAAAAGTTTTTGTAAGGTAAAAAACTTTTTTACAAAAACTTTTTTTTTCCTTTTCTTTTTTTTTCTTTCCCTTTCTTTTTCTTTTTCTTTTTCTTTTTCTTTTTCTTTCTTTCCTTTTTCTTTTCTTTCCTCTCTTTTTCTTCTTCTTCTTCTTCCCCATTACCTCCACCACCCCCAGCTGCAACTCCACCTCCCGCCGCCCCCCTCTGCCCCTTCCCCCTCCCCCCGCCTTCCCTCTCTCCCCCGCCGTCCCCTTCCCCCCGTCTTCCCCTCGCAGCCCCCCTCTGCCCCTCCCCCGCAGCCTCTCTCTCCCCGCCTTCCCTCTCTCCCCCCTCCTCTCCCCCCTGCCGCCTTCCCTCCCCCTGCTCTCCTCCCCATCTTCCCCCCCGCCAGCCCTCTGCCCCTTCCCCTTCCCCTCTTCCCTTCTCCCCGTCCTTCCCCTCCCCCGCAGCCTCTCTCCCCCGCCTTCCCGTAGCCCCCGTAGCCCTCCCCTCCCGCCTTCCCTCTCTCCCGCCGTCCCCTCCCTGCCCCTTCCCCCTCCCCCCGCCTCTCTTCACCCATCTTCCTCCCCCGCACCCCCTCTGCCCTTCCCCTCCCCCGCCTTCCCTCTCGCCCCCTCTCTGTGCCACCCCCCTCTGCGCCAAACGTAAGAGAGAAAAAAAAAAGACAAGGGAGGATGATGGCAGGGGAGGAAGAGAGGGAGAGGGAAAAAAATGGGGAAAAAAAAGACCGTCACCGGCACCGGAAATTGGTGACGGAGCTGGCAATGGAGGTGGTGGTGAGGAAGGAAGAAGAAGAAAAGGGGAAGGGAATTTTTTTTTTTTTTTTTGTGTTTCGGATATTTTAAGTGTGTAGGTTAAAAACTTTGATAAGTTTTTTGGGGTTCCTGTAGCAAAAGTTGTTAAAAAACTAGTTTTATACAAACTTGGTAAAAAATCAAGCTTCCAAACAGGCCCTAAGATCTTAAAATTCTATTGAGCGAGTCTAATATGCAAGTCAAGAATCCAATTTTGATTAAAAGACTCAAACGGTTAAATTTTGGACCCTTACATATTAAGCCTTCGTTCTGCGTGTTTTGAATCAATGTGGGATACAATTCCGTACTTATGAGCCTAACACTATATTTATACCTTAATAATTTGTCATCATAATTTACAGCATGGTAATACTAACGTGGAGATCAAAAAACAGATTATAGTGCTGTAACTTGAGCAATTTCACCTTCAAGAAAAAAAAAATCAGCAATTTTGGATCCAAATTCGGTGAAAACTCAAGCCTATTCATTAATATCACAAGTTCGAAGGCCTTTGGGATGTCCTCCACTTAAGGAATGCATCCGCCAACATTTCTCCAAGGTGAACTTGGGCCAGTGAACTGAGATGGAGCCCATCAATCTCAAGTGGGAGGCCCTTCGCCTCTATTTTGATGACATTCGGCAGCCTAATTGCTGCTTGGGCCTCCCTGACCGTGTCCATATAAGGTCCTTGGGCTGATGTTAAAAGCACCTATTTGGAAAATTACAGAAAAAAGAGGCTTTAGTCAGTCCAGTTATTGCGAAAAAAGATTATTGAAAAAAAAAGGATTAATGTATTTAAAGAAAAAAAAAATCTGCGAATTAAATCATTAGATTGCACCAGAAATGAAAACTCTATATAAATTTACATCACAGCCTAGAAGGTCCTTAAATTTTTAGGAAAAACCTCCATCAGATGGTTTCTATTTAATCCTTGGTTGAGAAAAAAGAATTTGTCTTATAAATGAGAAAATATTAGGTTCAAGTGTTAAATACCTTAGGTTAGGACAAGATGAAATTATTTAATGCAGGAAGAGGCATATTTCTAAATCAGATTATGGCGAGCCCTTTGAGAAAACTATCTATACTAAGCTAACTCAAGGCCGTTAAAAGCAAGTAGGGTTTAAAAGGTAGCTTGGAGAACTTCAAGGTACAAATTTGTCGTAGGTTCTACAACATTAGCTTGCCACACAACTTGTAATGTTTCTTCCAAAAAAAAAAATTCTAATATTTGTAGAATTCGAAACTATAGAAGAGTCAAAATATCGAGCATTACATCGAATTCAAGATCATAAATTATTCTCCCAGTTCATGCAAGTATGATCAATGAAAAGCGGGGGACTGTTGGATTGGATGGTAAGGTGAAAGGGATTGCAAGTAAGAGATTTTACGTTCAACTCTCTCACTTAAAATAAAAAATCGACGAAAAGCGCGTAATACATTGATCCAAACTAAAGATTGATTTGTACCTGAAAGAAAGGTAAGTTGGAAGATTGCAAATCTATGCGAAAGTCCTGTATGAATCTTTCCAATCTAGTTTCGTAAGACTCAGCTTCTTCTCGAGTGATAGTATCTCTTTCACCTTGAAACCACAAGACAGCTTCAAGAACGCTCTCTCCATAATCATCATCATCATCAACTTCCATGGCAGCCCTAGCTCTTGTGATCATCGCATTATACAGCTTAGACCCTCGTGACCATTCGCTAAGAGAAGTTCCTCCAACAGCACAAGGCACCAATCCAATAAAGTTATTAGCTTCCCCGGTGGCCATGGCCAAATTCTTGCGCAAGATTTTGTTAGCAAAAACCATGCCAGGTCCAATCCCACAAGTTTTATTGGAGTCAATGTCGAAATGAATAGGCTCGCGGGCTTCTTCCCATGTTAATCCTGAATTGAATCGAAGAATTGATGGATTTGGATGACATTCATGAGGAACAAAACCATCCCAGGTTTTGTTGTTGACTCCACCACGTCCAGCCATGTAACTCTGACCAGCTAGAGTGAATATGTGTTTCCTCTGGCTTCCACTTTGTAGAGTAGTGCTATTCTCGAGTATTTTTGTGGACATAATTGTTGAATAAAGGCAGAGAAATAATAGCAGAATTGCCCACCAGAAGCAAAAGTGGTGAAGCATTCTCCAGGCACTGCAACTACGTTCTGACATTAGTAACTATAAAAAAGAAAACTGAAGTAATTAAAAGTTACTTAAGTATTTTATTTGTTGAATGAGGTTTAGAGAACCAACAGTTGATGAAATCTTGAAGTAATGTCTGAGGAGATAAAAGGATCATATCCTAATAACAGATGAAAAAGGATTTTGAAACTTGATTAACTAAAGAGTAGAAGATTACTACACGAAAATATGGACGTCAATGATCTAGGAAACTGGGAATAAAAAAAAGAGCATTATAAAAGGTTTGACAAAATACCACACGGAAAAGTTTTCTGGAAAACAAACGCAAATACCAAGATTTTCTGAAAACGAATACCAATTTTTTCAAACACCCAAAAAATCCATGGAAATATGATGAACAAAGAATCATGAAGACGCAAGTAGTACTTCTATTTCTTCTCGCGAGGGGAATGAAAAGTCCTTGGCAATTGGGGACCTCAATATATACGCCCGCTAATGGCAATCCCTTGTCAATGGGTGCCTAATCTTTGTGTTATTTAAACACCAATCTATGAGATAGCAAGATAAACCTATCAAGTTCAATTGAAATCATAGCAGCCATTTCATTGAATTGCTTGGAATTTGTTGGCTGAAAATGTCACCACATTATGAACTTTGCAGGATTTAATTACATAATTCGCAAGCCTAAACTCTCCTCCTCATGTCTAACTCTTCTTTCCCAAGTAAATAGAACATCTTCTATCCTGAGAGAGGGACCACTTGATCTCTTTTGGTTTCCTTCTTTCTATATTTTTTTTCTTTCATTTTTTGTATTTATAATAGCGTCTCTCCTAGAGTTTTTTAGTGAGAGTTTCTTATCATGTAACGATTAGAGATTCCTAACGAGACTTTTCTCTTTTCTTAGGTTTCTTAGTGAGAGTTTCTTCTTTTCTAGGGATTTGTAGTGAGAGTTTTCTTCTCGTCTAGGAATTTCTGGTGAGAGTTTTTGTAGTTTTTCTGTTTCTTGCACAAGATCTAAAATTTTTCAAAATTGATTATCAGATTTGAGATTTCTTCAATCTACCTGGTCGGATATCACTTTAATATTTGGATTTGAATCAGTTCATTAGCAGATATAAAAGGAAGCAAATAATACAGTTGGAAGTATACACAAAGGATTTTGGGGGTATAAGTGTTTTATCTTTTGATATTTTTGAAGTTTTACAATGTAATATTGGATTGGTTTTCTAGATCTGTGCTACGAATTATGTTCAACTATTTTTTTTTTCTTTAGATCTATTTGTATCTATATATGATTGGTGTAATTTCTACCAATAACACAAAGTTATTGCAAATTTAATAAAAATGATGATGTTATATATCTATATGTATATGTATATGCGTGCACGCGCGCACACACATACATATCATACACAAAGATTATCTTAAGCACTAGTTTTTCTGAACCTTTGGCACCAGCAAATTGGGCAGTGGCACTAGACTAAAATCCCATTTCTTTCTCAAATATAAGTAAACACCCTCCCAGATTTGTGTGTGCAAAGATTCATTACCAAATTGAATGACAGATTGTCATCTTTTAATGTCTTTTTTAACTTGAGTATCACTTGAGAAGTTCATCTTACCATACAGTTTATTTCACAAATCGAAAAAATTTTGCTCAATTTACTAACATTCTTAAGGAGAAAAGATTAGTTTTACTTGTGTCCTTTTTGTTGGATTTTTCTTAGTTAAGAATCTTAAGTTAAGATAAACGGTGGATGGTAGTGAACCTTTTTTTTTTTTTTTTTTTTTGTGGATGGTAGTGTACGTTACATCTTCTAATTGAATTATTTAACAATTAGGTAACAAAAATATTTTTGTTTCTAGAAAATATCATGAAACTACGAACTATAACATTCAAATCCAAGATTGAAATATTCATTGTCACTTTCATTTAGAAATAAATTCATAAGTGATAGAATTCACATAGTAAGTAAATTTTCTTTATTGCTAGTTAAATTTTGAAAAAAGGGGACAGCTAACATAAATTTACCTATTATTTAAGTCATAGTCCTTAAAACGCATCTATTTGGGCTTTGTGGCCTAGTCGTTAAAGTTTTAACTCCCGGATGAAGCCCATTTAGACAACTACTAATTACCAGACCACAAGCTAAAAATCCTAGTGGACTTCAACATGGACCTATCCAAAATTCAATCCAACCAAATAGCTCAGCGAATGGACCCTCCTTTATAGAAGTTTGTTCCAATGGCCGTTGTCATCAATTTATTTTTCTCCTCACCGAATAAACCCTAGCTCTCCCCTCATTTTCCCCTGCTGAAAATCCTCCCTCGGCGGCTCCGCCCTTTTGTTCATGTTCTTTACTCCGGGATAATTGCTTGATTTTATATATAATGTATTATCATTTGATTTTTTGTTGATTAGTATTGTTTTTTTCTCTCAAATTTTCTGTTGCCCAATGATGGAAAATTTGTTAATATTGAGCGGATTGACAGGGTTTAAAATTCAACGGTTGCCTTTGCACTTCACCGGAAAAATTAGCCGCCACCCACCTCCACCTCCACCTGCACCACCAGCTCTTCTCCCGCCACATACATACATACATATATACACACACACACACTGGTGCGTGGCTTGGCTGGTTTTTTTGGCGGTGGTCTGTAAAAGGCTTCTGTTGAATTACCCGTCAAATTCCGTCTATGATTCATTGAAGCTATGAGATCTGAGGGCTTCCAAAATATGTGGTTTGAAATTTTTTGCGTTTTTGGGATATTTATTGCTTTATTTTCTTATTTAGTTGTGGTGGCTTTCAAACCATTTGATTCTTTTTGATTTTGTATATATTGAGATTATTTATTCTTTTCATGTATATCTATTTAATAATTCTTGATTATTGCCCAGTGACTTAAATTTTGTGGAAAAAGAGCAGTTTAATTGGTTGCCATTTGTTGTTAGCCTTTTGTGGTGCCATTGCCTGATTTCCTCAGGGGAGCAAAGTGTAATTAACCCTTTTTCTTTATTCATTCATTTATCCATTCATCCATCCATTGATCCTTATGATCTTCTATCTATCTGTCTATATAGCTGTGATGAGAAATCATATCAGAGATGCCATACAGATGGTACCAAAAGTGCTTGATAAATGTCACTGCTAGTAACCTTAAACTGCAAATGATGGTTTTTGATTAAAGATATTCCTAAAATAGCTATCAAATCTGAGGGCTTTTGATTTTATATTTTGTTGTTCAGCATCTATTCAGTTGAACTTTTAGGCTTTGGGTCATAGGTTTTGTTCTTGGTATTCATTTATGGGGATTTAACTGAGTTGTTGTTTTGGGATTTTTGCCCAATGATGTTACTCAAGCAATAACAATAGAAAGGTAGCTTTTGATTTTCACAGCAAGCCTCCCCCAGCATCTGCAGCAGCAGCAGCAGTAGTAACAACAACATCAATATTCATCATCATCATCTACTAATAGTAATATTATCTTTGCGATGGGGGATTGGCTTTAATGGGAATCATGAGATTTAGCCGTCTATGTTGCTATGGCTATGAGCCATGAGGGTTTCGGGTGTTAAGCCTTTTCTTTCAATTTTATCTTATGAGCGAGTCTTATATTCATTGGCGTCATATACTATTACGATTAGATATACAACAAAATTTGAGTTTCAAATTCAAGTTCGAATTATGTATTATGCATATAATGATGAAGGTTTATATGCATATAATGATGAAAATGTATGAACTGTTTGTGTGTCTTGTGCTATTTGTGATCAATAATGCAGAACACTTTTCTGGACCTTGTGGTTTAAGTGGGAATGTGGATTTCTGATTTGGCACATTTTATTCTGTCAATGGACTGCAATGGAGTTAGAAGCCGAAAAGGGGCAAAACATTAAACATGCATAAGTTCGGCTAATCCAGTGGTTGAAAATTAATTACTACAAGATAATGCCAAAAAGGGAAGAAAAATTTATATAGAGCATAAATCGTAATAATAAATCTTTGTAGTATGAACAAAGAACCCCAGAAGAAGCGATCGGTCTCCAGCATTGAACGCAAATGCCACGGCTTGACCGCTGCTAACGGAACGTCAACTGGCCACGCAAATAATAAAAATAATAATTACTACTTTTTTTTCCCCCTTTTGTTGAGTGAATTTTTGGGCTTGTTTTGATGGTAAAACTGTTGAATAAGGTTTGATCAGGAGACTGGAAGAGGGATGTAACGAGCAAAGGGGTGGTGGAAGAGAAAATTAGCAGTGTCAGAATTTTTTAAAATAATATTCTATTTGCATTATAAATATATTTATTAATTATTTTTTTTATTTTACACGCATCACATCATAAAAATATTATAATAATTAATTCAAATAATCTCCTATTCAAACACTTTTAGTGATTTTGAAGAATTATTGATGAATAAAAATTAAATGATTTGCACCAAATATTTAGTGATTTTGAAGAATTATTTTTTATGAATAAAAATTAAATGATTACACTAAATAAATAATCAACGTGGATGGCATAAACCAGTAACTAAATAAATAAATGAGTTCATACCGATGCTGTGTAACAAATCCAGTAACCATTAGCAAAAGGACGAAAGTGATAGAAATGCTTAAAGTTAAGGGGCAGAGTGTGAAAAGCCATAAAATATATGGTGCAAACTCTCACCCTCCACTTCAAGCTTTTGAAGTTCTCTTCCTGCTCTTTGTTGCTGCAAATTCAGTTACCTTTACCGCCACCGGAGCTCTCAAACCTCCAAGCAAAACAAAAAGTAGAAAAGATTAAAGAAAAAGGAAAAAGAAAAGAGAGAGAGAGAGGGGAAAGGCTTAATATGTTGGAAGTACAGAGTCTAAAGAAAGCTTTGGTCCCAAAATCCCTTATCCCTAATCCATCTCCTGGAAACCTTCAATCTACTCGTCTAGCCCTC